AACTGGAGACCTGTCCAGGTGTCTCTGGTGAACTGGAGACCTGTCCAGGTGTCTCTGGTGAACCGGAGACCTGTCCTTCACCCAAAGGCAGCGAGGACAGGTTCCCGCCCCACCCTGACCCTGATTAGGAACAAGGAGGACAGGAGGAGGATTTTTCTTTATAGCAGGAAACAGACATTTAATTATAAAACAGGATTTATTTTATGTTAATCTGAATCAGTTTAGTGTTGTTTGTAAATACCCGTAGGGAGCTTTATGACGTCCCATCTGGTGCGCTTTTTCCTTTTTTGATTGCGCAAGCGCACCTGCGCACTGCTTATGTGCACCTCTGATTATATGGATGTATTATATGTCTGAACTTGTCTAATCCAAATGTTGTTCATTTAACTGTTTAACATCATTTTTTTTTACCTGGGCTGGTCCTGTAGGACATGTATTTTTTTTTTAGCAGTGAGAACTAGGGCTGCGCGGTATATACGGTAGAAACGGTATGAAGTTGGCTTATGGTAGAAATTTACCCTCTACTGTCGTATCGTCATTACGTCATCGCACCTGTGTCAACAGGGCTGCGAGTGCAGAGAYAACTGAGCAGGAGTTCGAAATATAATGAAGAAATTCTAGCGTTTTAAAACACGTATAGAGAGAATAAATCCTCAAAATTTCCTCCTCCCGCTGTAGAAAAGTTACATTGTGTCGCAGGATCCTCTCCTTTCCTCTCCTCTCCTCTCCTCTCCTCTCCTCTCGCTGCACATCCCGCAGAGCGAAGCTTTAACTGTAGTTTTTCACACCCAATTGTCGGAGAAAAAAAAAATTTATGTATTGCTACCCACAGAGATTCTTAACAAAACAGACGTGGACGTTCGTTCAGTCGTAAATCCATCTTGCTAATGTAAAGTTGGCTTCTGCTCTGATGATGAAGATGATGAAGATGATGAAGATGAGCGCGCAGCAGAGCAGCAGCTGATAAGTTCAGCAGGCAGAAGCTCATTGTTTGGCAGGCTGATATTAAAGCAAAAATGTTGGGTTTAATTAAGATTACAGTTTTCTGCAAAAAAACATGCTCTAAAAAAGACATTATCTTTACTTTTTGTGATAATTTTCTACAGCGATATATACTGTTACCGTGAAGGGGTTCAATTTATACCGTGATATGAATTTGAGGTCATACTGCCCAGCCCTACTGAGAACTAGTCTCTCTGCTGATAAACAGAATAATGTGTGGGTTTARTAAAATGTTCTCCTCCATTCTGCTCCTTCCAGCTTCCACTCGTAAGTTGTATGAAAAGAAGCTGCAGAAGCTGCTTGATGGTCCTGCTCAGCTGCCTCAGGTCAACCACAACGGAAACCATGAATCCACCGTCTACAGCGATGAGGATGGTAAGATCTCTGAGTCCTAGATTATTCAGTGTGCTGCTGAAACATCTACAGAAGTTCTGTCGGAAAAGTTCCCTTCGCTTTTTTTTTTTGTTCTTTACTTTGTTTTTCTCTCCAAACTGCTTTGACACCTTCCACTGCCACATCTACCTTTCTGTCCTTGACACACATGCACAGTAGTGGTAACTGGGGTAGGCCGTGGACGTYACAAGACATTATACAGACAGGCTCTGGTATCATGGCTACCCAGCAACGGAGCTCAAGTGTGGGATCATTTTAAGAAAATGAAAGAGAAACCTGTGTAATATCTGCAGAGCAGAACTTACCTTCCACAGCAATTATTTTTAGTTAGCATATAGCTAAAATCTAACCATGGTTATATAACAGCAGCTGCATTCTGRYRYGATAAGCTCTATGTTTTATATTCAATTAACGTATGATCCGATTAGTCGACTAATCGAAAAAATAATCGGTGATTAATCGATTACAAAAATAATAGTTTGTGACAGCCCTAGTTTGAACTCTTGATTGGACGTTCTATATCTTAGCGTCCAGCTAGTACTGATGGAAGCATCTGACTGTGTTTTCAGAAGTGATATCAGAACCAGAACCCGAGACCGAAGCAGAACCAGAGCCAGCGCCTCCTCCAGTGCTGGAGAGAGCAGTGAGGAGCAGAGGGAAGAACTCCTCCATCATCATCCAGCAGCAAGAGGTAAGAATCCAGTGGAGAGAGAGTTTATCTGTGCTGATCATGGTGACCCACAGTACAAGTGTTTGTTTCTGTTCCTGGTTTGACTTGTGAGTTCTGTCTTCTACTTCCTGGGTGTTTGTTTAATCTTGTTTTAACCAGTTTCCTCAGGTCCTTTAAAACGTTTGAAAGTTTTTGAATTGGAAAAAATCAGTTCAAGGCTCTGAATAATGTTTGAACAAAGCCATAAAAAGACACCCATACTTGAAAATTCTTGAATGTTTTTGCGTTTGAAATTTCACCTGGAAGACGAATGCTGTCGACGTGTTGTTATTTTTGTCTTTGTTCWGCACTTCATTCTGTCATTGTAGTTAACGTGTGCGTAACAGCATGCGCTTCARTGAGTTCAATCTTCTGGCGAGTGACTTGGTGAATCAGCCAGACACATGTCAGAGTCATCAAGTCGGCACTTCAAGAAATGAACCGTTTTGCAACACATTTTCTGAGGGGCATCAAGGCTTTCAACAAAGCCTCTTCTCGCCATCACACATTCATGTGTTGTGACCATGAATGCTTGACATTCAATCCACTTTCTTTCATTAATTCTGACCAAACAACTTCCATGTCATTAATTTTTTTATTGAATTTGTATTGTGTTTAAAATCCTTTATTGATGACGTATCCAGCAGTAGCAGTAGGTAAATGCCACCAAGCGTGGTCCTCTAATTTCAGGAAATTGGTCCTGGAAAGTCTTGAAAAAGTCTTGAGAGTGCAACCTGGTGTCAGGTGTTTGTCAGGTGCCAGGTCTCTAACCTCTTTAGCATGAGAGCCCTGTGAACAGGCATGTAGCCAGAGGAGCCTCTTCGGTTTTCTGATGCCTTCTTTCAGCTGGTGATGCCTCAGGACGCCGGATTTGCTGGTACTGTAAAACATCGTCCACAGCGATGAAACTGTAAACATTGTGTTTTGTGACATCATGAAGTAAACAATCAAGTATAATATGAAACAATTTCAGGTTTAGTTTCTGTAATCCTAACCCTCAGACAGTTTCTCGCCTACACTCATCTGACTCTGGTATTTGTGCAGTAATTACCCAGCAGCTGGATTTCATTAGTTTCTTCTGACTCCGGCAAAGGAAATGTTTTTTTTTTCCTGAAGTCCCACTAGGATCCGATTGAGCCCCATTTGAAGCATGCGATGTGGATTAGCTCCTCCGTCCTTTTCATCTGTTTCTGTCTGACTGGATGTTATCTTTGCTCAGATTCTAATTTGGTTTAGAGTGGCTGGTTCATTTCAGACAGAGCAGCTCCCCCTGCTGTTCACACTGTTCAGCAGTTGGGCCGAGGCCTGGAGGAATAACTGCCTAGAAAACTGGTGAGATCACTTCATTATTGTGATCTGAGTGTGGAGGAGGGGCTGGCTTTCTGTCTTAGTTCATTCAGATCTTACAGATGATCTCTGAACTTCAAAAAGAAAAAATAAGTAGGTCCTCTGGATGGGTTCTTCTTTAGTGAAACGTTTCGTCTCTCCTACAAGAGACTTCTTCAGTCTGATGAGTTTCAGCTGAACTCAGCCTTATAAGCATTACCTCCACATGGTGGACAAAGAGGTCAGTCACATGCAAAAGAGGGCCATCGCCTAACAATAGGCTTGATTATTTCTATTTTTCATAGAGGGTCATGTGCCCCATCATCTGACTTATTGGAAGATGTTCTCATCCTTGATAAAGAGGAACGTTGGTTTGAGAGAGGAGTAAAGGAAGCCATTTTTGTGAAGAAAAACCGTCCACCATTAAACAGAGGTTGAGGCCTTCGTGTCCACTTGTGAGCAAAAGGTGTGAATCAGGGCCCCAACGATACCAACACAAAAAGGGAAAGAGATACAAAAACAAGGGGACGTTGAACTCCATTTGCGATCATTACATAAACATAACATGACACCAAAGAACCCCAGCCGAAGCATCCAAACCAATGAGTCAGGTGATGGGGCACATGACCCTCTATGAACAATAGAGCTAATCAAGCCTATTGTTAGGCGATGGCCCGCTTTTGCATGTGACTAACCTGTTTGTCCACCATGTGGAGGCAGTGCTTATAAGGCTGAGTTCACCTGAAACTCATCAGACTGAAGAAGTCTCTTGGAGGGGAGACGAAACATTTCACTAAAGAAGAACCCATCCAGAGGACCTACATATTTTTTCTTTTTGATTTTTTTCTACCTGGATTACTGAGATGCATCAGAACATCTCTGAACTTGTTGAGACCAGTAGTCCTTTTCTGGATCAGGTCCTGCTCATGGTGTCTTCATTATACTTGATCTCTTTCTTTTTCTTTGTTAAATGGCAAAATAATACATTATATCCATCCATCTCTTTTCTTTACCAGTTTTATTTCTGTTTTGGGGCATGGGGGATTTGATACCCATCTCCAGCAGTCACTGTGTGAGAGGGCGGTCCACTCAGAAGGTCTCCAGTCTATCTCAAGGCTACACAGAGACAGCCCAGACAAATAAACAATCACACACTCACTCACACCTAGGGAAAATTTAGTTACAAATTAACATCAACTGGATAATTATGATAGTTTACATTACTGTGTTTATGCCTGTAAAATGCAACCCACCCACACACACACACACATTTTTAGCTTTTAAGCTAAAAAATAGGGGGTTGCATTTGTAGGGATTTGTTAGCAGAGAAACAAAAAGAGTGATTAACTATTTCTGTCCTACACTACACTTTTACCAAGTTGGGGCACCAGCTCACTTTATTGACCAACATTTCCATTTTTGKGGTTAAAGTTTTTGCAAWATACACACATAAATCYAGTAWATTTTTAAATGATTTGCACATAAAGAGTCAATGTTGGACCTAAAACCTTGAGGCACACCTCAAACACTTTGAAATAAAAATAATTGATAGACATTCCTAAACAGCTGTGTTTCTGGAAAGCTGGTGTATGAGGTCATTATTAGWTATGTGGACACTAAATTTGGTTAAATTTGGTATTAAAACGTGAGGCTACGTTTCCTCAACGTGGTCTCTGAGGAGTAGTTGTTCCTGTTTTATTCTTCCAGTGGTCACAGAGCTTTAGTTCACGAAGTTTCTTAATCTTTTGTTTGTGTCTGCAGGTTGAGAAGATCTCAGCCAGAGATCAAAGTTCTAAAGGAGGGGAGAAGGATGTACTGAAGGAGCTGTTTCCAAACGAGGCTAATGGTCCAACAGGGCTCAGGTACAGCTCCTCTGATAAACTGYTTTTACTCACAGCCTCGTAGTCCCAATCAGGAGGTGGATTTAAGAACACAGGACTTTAGAATGTGTTCTTGATTATGTTAAAAGAAGCTAACTGTGATGCAGACATATAAAGTTGAGTTTATTTTGTCATCAATTATAACACTTCTCTGAAAAACATAGGTATACATTGGGGAAAGTAGTCAGCCACCAATTGTTCAAGTTCTCCCACTTAAAAAGATGAGAGGCCTGTAATTGACATCATAGCTAGAGCTCAACTATGAGAGACAAAATGAGAAAACGTGTAGAAAATCACATTGTCTGATTTTTTTTTTAAAGAATTTATTTGCAAATTGTGGTGGAAAATAAGTATTTGGTCAATAACGAAAGTTAATCTCAACACTTTGTTATATATCCTTTGTTGGAAATGACAGAGGTCAGAGGTTTTCTGTAAGTCTTCACAAGATTTGCCCACACTGTCGCTGGTATGTTGGCCCATTCCTCCATGCAGATCTCATCTAAAGCACGTTTCATCTTCAGCTCTTGCTGATGGAAGGAGGTTTGCACTCAAAATCTCACGATAGACACCCCCATTCACTCTTTCATGGACACGGATCAGTTGTCCTGATCCCTTTGCAGAGACACAGCTCCAAAGCATGATGTTGCCACTCCCATTCTTCACAGTAGGTCTTTTTAGATGTAACTCAGCATTCACTCTCCTCCAAACACGACGAGTTGTTTCTATCAAACAGTTCTACTTTGGTTTCATCTGACCATATGACTTTCTCCCAATACTCTTCTGGACTCACTAGGTCCCCCGTGTGGTTCTGGGATTTTTTTTTATCCCACGGGGTGAGATCTTGTGTGGCCCTGATGGAGGGAGATTATCAGTGGTCTTGTAGGTCTTCCGTTTTCTAATCATCGCTCCCACAGTTAATTTCTTCACACCAAGCTGCTTGCCTTCTGCAGATTCAGTCTTCCCAGCCTGGTGC